AAGCAACATGGGGCTCATGTCTTTCTTTGCGCTCCATACTACAACAGTTTGTAAAACAATTTCTTCAATATGTCTCAATGGAAGTGACGAGCGGGTGTTTATTTATTTGGATAAAACATGTTTCTTTAACTCTGAACACATAAATAAGTGTATCTTTTCTAATTTACATGGAATAAGATATGCATAAACATATCATAATATTATAATATCAGACCCTCTCTGTGGGTGGTTGGCGGGTGCTCTGGTGTGGTTTGCTTCTTATTTCCTATCAAACATCCATCGTCCTTATCTCCCTTTCATCTTTTTTTATGTTTGTTACTCTCTCGTAACAGCTCTAATCTTCTGGCGCTCCTATGACCTTATGCAGTTGCGAGCGCCGTAAAACCTCTACTAATACTAAAAGACCCTCTCTCCCCCGCCCTCTCTCTTTTTCTCTCATAAGCCACAATGCACCTGATTTTGGATAAGTTGTGAAACCAAATACGAGTGGCCATTTCTTCCCCCTCCCCTTTCCGAGCTTGCGTTACGAATCAATGCTCCAGATGTTAGATTAATTCAAGTTCTTCTCAGCTTAATCTGATGTTGATTTAGGAAAACCGCCAAACGTATCTAAGCAAATGTCAAACCGCCTTGAAGTGTTGGAGTCCTGGAACACAGCTTCATAACCTTCCTTAAATTTCAATTACATTCCACAAAACTATTTCGTACTTTTGGCGAAATTTCTGCACTACACTTTTATTCTCGGCTAAAAGTTTGCCTTATTCTCCCCATCTGACATCATTAACGAGACAAGGAGGTGTTTTAGATCAAGGAGGTACCGTATACATAATATGTTCGATACGTAGCATACCAAAGGCAGTGGTGCGGCATATTTTGAATCATCGAATACAAATTAAAAACATTAATTTCCACCAACCTTTTAACGTTTCAGTCAAAGGAAGCAGAAATGAAAAAATGTAAGAGTAACGAAGTGACCGAAGTAAAGGTAACAAAATAAAGAAGTAACGAAGTTGATAAATGTTTCTTTTTTTAGAGTACCACCCCCAACCCCAAACAAAACAAACATAACAAGAAAAAAACCCAACAACAAACAACAACAAACAAACAAACAAAAAAAACAAGCCCAAAAACAAACAAATATACCCCCCAACCCCCCCCCTCCCAATACTAACAAAAACATAACAAAACGACAACAACAACAAAACAACAACATAAAAAACAGTAAAAAAAACCCAACAACAAAAACCGAACAAAAAACAAGCTATAATTAAGAGGCGCATATTCAAGCTCTTTCGACTGACCAGAATGCATGTCCTCAGAGAATTAATACAGACCGATGCACCCACTGGACTACTTGATTAAAGGAAAGTATAAGATGCAGAAAGAAATTGAATTGGTACCAAGGATGTTGTCTTCCTTCGTTCTTTGTTTTTTTTTCCAACAAAATCTGTCAGTGTTTTTTCAAAACGTTGACGGAACGGATTTCTTCGTTCCAAATGGATATAGTGACAGAAAGATGAGGTCAAGGTGAAAGAAAAAAAAAGCACGCAGCTGAACATTAGCGAGTTATTGGCCAGTTGTTTACGTCATCCCTCACTTTTTTTGAAAGCCAGAATCACGACAGATTTTATTCTTCACCAATCAGAGTCCAGTCCTTTTTTTTCTGGGTCGGCAAATATACTATTCTGATCTGATAGAGTCGAACTATAGATCATACAGATCAGATTCGTCGAACAAAATGGCACACCGCTTTAGAATCCTTGAGCGGGGTAAACATCTCAGCTGTTACTGTTTACAGTGAAGGAATCCATGTTTTGATGACGTAGTGAGCGAGGGTCAGCGTGCGGTGACGTAATACCGAGTTCTGGGCCCCAATTTGACAGCTGGACAGCAACATGATCATTGTAACAATCTTATTGACTTGCGAGATGAGGGATGGGCAGAACTTAATCCACCGTCCACCCCTAACACGTATGACATATAGAAAGAACTTCTTATAAAGACTTCATTATGTATATACATATACACACATATACACGCACACACACACACACACA